GTTTTTGCCACGGAAGAAGCGAGTGTAACGAGTGTAGTTTAAGAAGATATATAGGAAAGACACTAGTTAATCATAGGCGTAAAGAGTTTAAGGTAGTATTGAAAGGATATAAAAACAAATGTATATGAAATTGATTTAAATATTAGTATGTTCGGAAACTAATGTCTTCTTACCAGAAAGGATATCAAAACAAACTTATTTAATTATTTATCAAAAATGGAATCACCTTCAACGACAGCAGCTCACCAACTTTTAGATTCAAAGTTTAAAGACTCTCTGGGTTTTCATATATTTTAATATCTTTCCACATATAGAGACTTTCTAAGCGTAGTTTAGATGTAACACAAGTCCGAACATATAGGGCACCCAGTGAGGACTGAACTCACTACTCAGTTGTAATTGATCTGGCGAGACAATCTTTCTAATGATTGCATCACGTCGAAGTTCCCTGTCATGTCTTTAGGAAATGCTCTAATGACTGAAACAGATGAAATCTGTCGAGTATGGAGCACGTGAAAGAACCTCCCATCGTAATGATCTTATTTTGTCTTAGGTTTGTTTTTACAGAGTTGTGTGCCCTTGTATTGTCATGGTGGAGAATAACGCCAGACACTTTCAACGTAATGCTCAGTTTAATCAGACAAGTTGCTGTCAATGAACATCATGCGGTAATGGTCCTTCCATGTTTCAGTCGCTCGTAATGAACGATACGTCTTCTATTCCATCTGACACAAATCAAATAATTCTGTGAACAGAGTACTGCTTTTGGTGTTGGCACTGGTTTCTCATTTTGTGATAACTATTGTCTTTTTCATTTGCTTTTGACACGCAAAACCCATTTTTCATCACCTGTAAGAAAGCGATGCAAAAATGAAAGTTTGGTATTCCCGGTTAAAAGACTGCTGCAGTTGATGGAACGTTGTGTTCAGCTCTCACGCAAAAGCTCATGAAGAATCCAAGTTCCCTCTTTGTAAGTTTTCCCAATTATATCCTGAAATGCGCAATAAACCGTAAAGTGTCGGACAGAAGCGATGATAAACTAATTCTAAACGCAATTTCCTACCATTCAACCAGGGTTCAGTCTTGATTGGTTGACTCAATTCATAGCGCTGAAATAAGGAATTACTTTCTGAATATCTTATATATAAAGATAAAAACCTTTCTCTACTTCCATCTTTCCGAAATGATACTTCCTTAAATTACCCAAGTTGACATTTAAAACTCATTTTTCATAATCTGTGCAAACGTGAATGTTTTTTTATGAATTTTTTTAGCCCCAAAATACACCCACGTCAAAGGTTGTGAAAACTACATAAGTAACGAAAAGTGATATGTTTACTATACTAGAGAATTCTTGGAATAGACAACAGTTTTATAGAAAGGTACACTATTCTGAATTATGACGAGGTAAGAGAAATTCTCCATCCCTTCATAGACAGGATCGCGATTTTAAAAACTATAATATACTTATTATATTAAACCAACATTGGTGATTTACCTGCTAAGGAGGCACGGTGGAATAATGGATAGCGGCTCGGATTGATGAATCGGAGAGACGAGTTCGAATTTCAGTCGAATCCATTACATTCACTTACGTGCCAATACCTTTTCTTCTCCCTCATCAGCTATGGATAAATAGCAGGACCGACAGGGTTCTATAGTCTTGGATAGCAACTGGTCTACCGCAGAAAGAAACGACAACCTACTGCGGGAAAAATCTGCCTCGTCAGTCATGTATCGAAAGATACGTGATCGCCTAAGCGTGTATCACTCATGACACATATCTGACTGACTATGCTAAGACTCGACTCAAAATTATTTTCAAATAATCTTCAACACTTATCACCTTTAAAAGTAGAGAATTACTCTGGCAAATAAATTTAAGGGGTCAGTATAAAAAGTGTTATTTTTTTTTTCGAACCATACGTCGATGTTTTTATTTCAACTTGAATAAAATCTGTGAAACTACAAACTTGTGAATTATAACAAAATATCTCATTTTTGGAATGAATAATTATCATTATTTGCATCCGGACTATTGTTCTCATCTTTGTTGTTGCTATCACAATATTTCGGTCGTTGTGACCTCAGGTTTTCATCAGGTGTATATCGATCCATGTAGCCTGGAGGTAATTCTGAAATGAAACTTTTATTTGATCTACGAAAGTAGACTATTCTTGTTCCACTCTCCATGTCTTGGGACATCTCGTCTTAGTTCGTATTTGTTAATACGACTCAGTTATTACTCGCTCGGTTTCCACCGAGTCCCAGTACATACGGCCCAGGGATTGAATTCACAATTATTATATTGCCAAATTAACAAACCAACTCTTTAATCCACTAGGCTATTGTTCCGTAGGACGGCATTTATGTGTGGAGCTTTAAACCTACATTGACTGCTGATGACTGCAGCTGTTGTACTGTGTTGTTTATTTTATATGTTTAAAATTTCGCATAAAAACTTAATTAAAATAAAACAAATAAATAGCAAAGGTAAAACCATTGGGAATTAGTTTCCACTTAGATATGCAGTCAGGTAACGCTAAAGAAGTCACGGGACACTTCAGAAGTCACATGACGCATCAGCTGATAAGTAACACCGATTTCGAAATCCCTCAATGTATGTTTTGGAAATGTATGTGATTACGGATGTTTTTATTTTTCTCTGTAAGAGTTTTCGTATTTATATTTTATTTTAGAAATAGTTGAAGGAAGAAAAGGAAAAAGAAACATTCTCCTTTCCTTAATTTCATTTTGTTCGTTTTTTTTTTTTTTTTTTTAAATTATTTCACCCCAAAGAAGGCGGGAATGGGACTAGTAGACAGGGAATTACAGGGCATGAAAGTGAAAGAGAAGACTGAGAATAGCGAGGATTGAGGAAAGAAAAGAAGATGAACGGGAATCAAGAAAACAAAAGATGGCGACTGAGGTTGCATTTAAATTTTTGAAGATTGTAATTACCATGGAAGCAAGTAAACGGAAGGAAGTTCCACATACAAGAAGTATGAGAAAAGAAACTGTTAGAGTAGAAGTAGCAGTTGCATTTAACTATTTCAACAGTAAATGGGTGGGACCTAGATGTCGATCTAGTAGCATGCTTAAATTCATATAGTCAGGGCACCAAGGGAAAAAAATTCGTTAGAGCTGTTGTGACGAAAATATTTGTAGAGGGAAGTCTCGTCACGCCGGTGAGAAAGTGACTGAAGTCAAGATCTCAGGATCGATTACATTACATATCCTTCTTTGGATTTTATTAAGAATCTCGAGATGTACAACAGGAGAACCAAACCAGATATGGCAACAGTATTCAATGCACGGATGAATGGTAGATTTGTAAATGTGCAAGATTCAGACGAGATAAAATCTTCTGGCACGACACAGTGACCTAACTTTTCTTGCAGTAGATGCAGCTTTTGATTCGATATAGTCGCTCCACTTCTGATGGCAAGCAGAAAAGATTCTTTATGGTGATTAAATGAAAGCAGTTTTCTTATGGAGGCGTTAAAATTTACAAGCCATTTCTTGATCCAGTTAACCACTGATTGGAGACTCTTTTCAAGAACAGCTGCTAGGTTTATTTTGCCAGATTTGACGGATTTTCTATTGACACAGGAGTAAATGCTTGTGTCATCTGAAAAGGTACATAGTTGGGAACTGATGGCATCAGCAGATTATTGATGAAGATCAGAAATAGCGCAAGACCCAAGAAAGAGCTTTGGGGTACACCCGTGTCCGCATGAAAGGATCTGAAAACGAACCATTCAAAATGACCTTTCAATCATTTCAGCATACTTGGTTTTCAATTTAATTCAATTTTATTTAAAGAAATTGTTTTTTTTTTTATTCTGATTTTAAAATTTTTATTTTTATTCTGTGTTTATGATATTGTAAGAATTATCCGATAAAAAACACGGAGATTAAATCCCGACTAAAAACTTCCACTCAAATCCCATTTTTCAAAACAGATATGATTTTTTTTCTTTTGGATAACTTGAACAATACAATCTTCCTCTTGTAGATTTCACACAATTTCGAAATGTGCATGAATAAAATAATATTCACCAGTATTAATGGAAAAACTACAGTAAATGTATTTTTAAAATTTCTTTTTTGATTTGCTTCCTGACATATTTAACATATTTAAAATATATGAACTCAGTGTCTTCTGAAGATGATGAAAACAGATACCGGAATATTAACAAAAGCAAAAAAACGGAGAAGAGTTATTGCATGTGATTAAGTTGGTTGTGGTAAATTTAGTATAATTAGTTTTTTAAAATGTTTTTTTTTTTTTACTGGGATCACAGTTACAATAATTTTGTCTTTGTAATTTACCATTGAAGATGATCTTGGAAAAGATCGAAATATTTGGATTAAAGAAACTATGGCGCCTTCCTTGATGAATTTCATCTTAACACCAAGAAACTAATTTAGTGAACTGGATAAGAATAGTATAAAAATAGACACAATATGTCGATATTGTTTAATGAAACACACATACAACCCTCCCATATATATATATATATATATATATATATATATATATATATATATATATATATATATATATATATATTAATGCATGTTTCAGTAAATAATATAGACAAGTTTTGTCTATTTATTTTAAATAAGTTCCTTTCATAATGTCTGATAAGCTTAATAACATTATCATTGTCGTTACTTGGAAATTTTCATGCAGCAAAGGCAGACTATCATTGTTGTTTCGTCCGTGTGTTGTTTGATTTATTTAAATTGTCATCTTTGATAATGACTTGTGTAAGCCGAAAGCTTAGATTGGATTTAAACATGTATCAATACGGTGATTTCCTTTCGTCTTTCAATGATAATATGGTTAAATGAACAACCACGATAGGAATTAAAAAAAAATGATTTCAGAAAATGCCGAACTCTTTCATATTTGATGAATTTGTCCAGAGATTTTATTTATTTTATATTTTTTAATATATTTTGTAAGTTTTATAGAAAGCATCTCGTTTCAGAAATCAAATTGAAGTCTGTGAATGAACATCTTTTAAAACCGGAATCAGGATTCGATCCAGACGAAAAGATGATTGAATATGATATAGAGACAAAGGTAAATGTCAATGTTTCGTTTTCTTTCTACATTTACTTAATGAGATATTATATAGAATTATCTACGGAAAAATAGACTCTTATCGCTCTTGTAATTATAAATATGGCTGCCTTGCTTAGCAGTTATATCTATCTATCTAGTTATATCTATCAATATTACTCCTAAGATTATTATGAATGTAGGTGGTTCGATTCACATTAGAGTCACCTACAATTTTACATAGCAGTACAAATTCCTCATTATGAAACAATGGTTAACATGTAGTGGTGGAAAGCGACTACAGTTGTCTCCCCTACCCTCGAAATAGTTGATTATAACCTCACTTATGAGCAGTTGTCAAATTGTCCACGTTAAACTCTGCCTTGTGCCACATATAACCCTCGTAGGAGGGGGGCTGTTAAATATAATGGTTGTCAAATTGCATTGAATATAGCTTCAACACAAACTCAAACGTTTGTCTGTTTTTCTTTATACATGTATATCTTGAGAAATTACTACTATAGTGAGTTCAGTCTACAAAAGGTTCTTTTCATTTGTGAATTGTAGTTCTGTAAACAAAACGAAGTTCGATTGTTCGTTGTTAAGGAGGAGTGTTAAATGAAAATGAAATATTTTCTGCCCTTGGTTGCATTAAACAAAATAAATACCCTCGACAGTTGTCTTGGTGGATTGTCAAACTGAAATAAAATATTTTGCCTTTGGCCGTATTAAAAAGTAAATATCTATGGCCGATGACGAGATGTGGTGTTTAATTAGAGAAATATTTCTGGCCGTCTTCGTAATAAATTAAGTCAATCCGTCCGGTCAATGTCGACGAGCAGCATTATATTAAAATGAAATATTCCTGACTTTGGCTGCATTAAGTAAATAATTTCGGTAGTTTTCGTTTTGGAACATTAAATTGAAAGGAAATATTTCTGGTTATTTACTACATAGGTATATTTTTCCTTTTTCCTAATTCACTTCCATAATAATTCCGGCCAAAATTCATCTTTGCTCGATTTGTTCCTTGCTTCTGCTCCTTCGGTGTCTTGGGTGAAAGCTGACATCGATGCTTTAGGACTATCTCGTAAAATTTAGGTGAAACTACAACCCTCTCCTTAGCTCACGGCTGCCTGTTCAGCTGCTACAACTCACACGAGTCACTTCTCCGGTTACATCAATGTGATTGTTCTGATTATAAGATAAACCTCCTTGTGTTCATTCGTTCTGATAGCACTTTGTTTCTCGTGACGACTAGTGGCTCTGTGTTTTAAATAAGGGTAAATCCTCGACTCCATCCTCCCGTCATTCAGTTTGAAGTGTTATCATCTTCTGTTGATAAAGCAAAATGTTTTGCTCGTAAATTCTCTTCCAATCTTGCTCTCAACTCATCTGGAATATATTTGCTTGACGTTCCATCTAGAACCGAGTTTCTACAGTGTGATATGCATATAACGCTTTCCATGGTTTCTGCTACCATCTCCCTATAAATGAAGTATGCAGACTCGATAGTATCCCTGTAACTTTCTTAAAGAAATGTTCCCTGGGGTGGCTCCTGTACTCTCTAAGCTCTACACTAGACATTTTCTGGTTTCTTACTTTCCTGCTTGTTGGAAATCCTCTTCTGTAGTTCCTGTTTTTAATAACTCGGGCGAACCCTCTAACCCGTTTAACTATCGATATATTATACGTCTACCTCGGTTTGACTAAGTACTAGAAGCGTTCATCAACTCTAAATTGGTTAAGCATCTTACATCGCAGTGTCTTTTACATAAACAATATGGCTTTAACTTCTATAGGTCAACTGTCGATGTGTTAACGGTTAACAGTTATTTGTGAAAGATTTTCTTACGCTTTATACAACAATAGTAAAGTGTTGACTGTTGCTTTAGGTGGCTCGAAGGCAGTTCGCGAAATGGAAGTTGTTTTCAACGGCACCTCTTCTAGATCATTATACATTAATGCGGGGGCGGGGGACCCTCGGGGATCTACTCTTGGACAGACTTTCTTCCTAATATTTATGAACGACCTTCCTGATGTCATTAGTTTTCAACTCTGTATCTATGCTGATGACACAAGTATTTGCTCCTGTCTTAATGGTAAGTTAGGTGCGATAAAGCTGATCTTAAAAATGATTTTCAGTCTGTTGCTAAATGTGGCAAGAAATCACTTTTTAATTTTAACACCTCCAAAACGAAACTGCTCTTCTTCAACTGTATAAAATAACTTTTTTTTTCATAAATTCTTTCACTTTCAGTAACATATTGCGTCTTAGCGGCTTTATCGCCTTGATTGAAATGATTGAAAATGTTCCATTAAATTAAATTTAGAATTTAAACTGAAACAAAATAATAATGATTTTTGTAATTATTTCAGATTATCAAGGTGACAAAGCCACTAAGATGCAAGGTTTAAGTGAGAGTGAAAGAATTTTTGAAAATCGTAGTGTACTGGAAAGCAAGAAGCCAGAAGACAGTTCCATAAGAGTTCATTTAAGCAAAACCTTAAAATTATTTGGATGATATATTCAACAGGTAAAGGACTAAATGAATTGATTTTATAATGGCAATTATATGCTTCCATACCTCTACGCATAGACACTGACATACGCATTCCCAAACATGTATATATATGTATGTGTGTATATTGTGAGTACGTGTGTATTTGTGTGTGAATGTGTGGGATTTGGTAGGTCATTTAATGGAACTTTTAAAGATAATTTACATTTAATTCAATTCAGTCAAGTAAAAGCGGATATAATTTATGAGTTAAATATTTTGACAGAAATAAAAAAAATGAAATAAATTTGTCAGTCGAACTTCAACCAGGATATTAAGAAAATAGTACTCCTAAAATTATACCATTGCTTCAAATCATAGTGAATATTTAAAAAAAAAAAGAAAGAAAAAATTAGAATGAATATGAAGATAATCAAAGAGTATGACCCAGTGAGTCATGGCTAAAAAATCTGGAATTTCAAAAAGCGGCATTTGAAAATTCTTTGATGTTTCAAGACAGTGGAAAGTTTTTGATGCCAATGTAACATTGACTAATAACAGGTTATATTTTTTATTGGTAAGAAATATTTCAAATTAATTTTTCATAAAATACGATCAATTTGATTGTCAGACAAACAGTTCTAAAGATTGTGATCATCAAGACTATTCGAAAAGTTTTCATCGGAAGAACATGTCGGGCAAATTAACAAGTAGAAATTAATCCTACTAGAAACAAAATAAATCATTGATTTCGATATTTCGAAAGTTAAATAAGTTAAATGTTGAAATTATTTCAATAACGTATAGAGAAGAAAAAGCAGCGAATACATTGTATATGGAAGGCGATAAGTATTCTCTCATATTAAAGATGATTTTATAGATTATTATTGTTATGGGAGATTTGAAGATTGTTTACAAGTCATGTAACGCAGAACAATTTACAGATCATGTAAGGCAGAACAACAATTTACATATGTAAGGCAGAACAACAATTTACATATGTAAGGCAGAACAAATTACAGATTGTGTAAAGTAGAACAATAAATGAATGTATAATTAATCAGTGAATTTTTTTATTAAATGCAATCAACTTGATTTTTAGGCAAAAGCTTTTGACGGCCCTGAAGATGCAAGATATCCACAAATTGGTCCTCCAAAAAGTATGGCAAGTTATATTTCAAATAAATGCACTTTCCTTCGAAAAATCATTTTTGATCCAGATGTTATGAAAAATCCTGGATTGCAGTTGCATTTAATTGTTTACTTTTTTTGGACAGGTAAGTTACGAAACTGTATTAATGAATAATAAATTTAAAGAAAAATTAATTTCTATTAATTTCTAAAACTTAAGAAATTATTTGCTTAAATGACATACGGAAAATTACATTAAAACAAATGTAGCAAAGATTGCGTAATCTTATATATAAAGTACAGTGTGTTTGCGCGCGTGTGTGTCCAAGCAACTATTCGGCGGCGTTGAAGCTAGCTCCTGTGGAGGACTCTTGGTTTGGCCATCAGCACAATAGTTAGGGAGAAATAGATATGCTAGGCATCAATAAACTACAGAAGAACTCAAAATTGATTGCTGCATTTAAGAATTAAATTAATGTTTAAGCTTTTAAAAGTTCAACGATAATTCTTCTGCTGCCACTTAATTTAAAGACGATTTGATGTACGTAGGTCCTTATTTTCCGTACAAACAATTATTTTTACTTCATGGGTTACATAACAAGGGACAATTTATAAGATAAAATTAATATAATGTAAAGATGAGAAAATAGAAATTAGAATTAGTTATACATTCAACTTTTGAAGATTTAGAGAAACATAATAGATAATTAAGTAAAACCTATATTATTGTATCTATATGAATAAATGCGAAATTGGAGCTCAATTCTCTTACGAATTCTGAGATTAAAAAGCTCCAATAAAAGCTCAATATCTGTATTATATATTATCTACTTCTAGGCAATATCACTCTTCAGGTTTAACTAATTTGCAATACTGATTTAAAAAAATGTTTATTTCATTAATTAACTGTCTTTAATTCGAGGATTCTTTTGATTTTCGTATCAAAAATAGTTCTGTTTAGGAATATTGTCTTATATAGTACAAAAAAGTGTTTGAAATTTGCATTTTACTTGGCTTTCAACAAGTTGGCATCTATTTGTAAAACTTTACTTAATTATAACAGGCCAATTTATGAATGAAATATTCATTTAAAATTTTTGTTTCAAAGATTTTAAGTAGTGAATATATCTTACTTTGCAAAGCAACAGCGAGCAGGTGAAGCCTTCTAGTATTAAATATTCCTGGACCATTATTTCTCTTAAAGATAAATTCTTACAACATATTGTCTTTAGCGTTCCTGTATTTGTTATAATAGCGGTTGTAGTTTTCCTTTCGCTTAGGAAAGACCTTATTCTTCCTCTTTTTCTTATAAAAGTCATCGCAATTGTCCTTTTACTTAGAACAGTCATTATTCTTCCTGTATTTCTTATAAGAGTCGTTGTACTTGTCCTTACTCTTAGAACAATCGTTATCATTCCTGTATTTCTTATAACAGGCATTGTAGCTGTGTTTTCTCTAAGAACAATTCTTATAATTCTTGTATTTCTTATAATAGTCGTGGTAGTTTCTTTTCTCCTAGAAGTGTCCCTATCTTTCTGTATTTCTTATAACAATAATTGTAGTAGTACCTTCCCTTAAATCGTCTTTATAGTTCTTGTATTTCTTATGACAGTCTTTGTAGTTGTTCTTGTTGTTCATGATGACGGTCGTCTTTGAGTATAAAACCCAGAGGTTAGCAATGAATATTTCGAAGACAGTAGGGAAGCGTAGTTCAGGTTAGCAGTGGATATCCCGGTAAAAGTATCAGAGCGTAGTTATTCCTTCTGTTCCTCTTCGCGTGACAAGCTGGCACTGGACATTCGGATAGAGTAAACAAAATGGCCGCCTTTATACACGACGGATTGAATATTCTACGTCTTCTGATTGGTTAACCTTCTATTGGTGGACTATAAAATGAGTCAAGTCATTTGGACTGGCTCACTAGTACATAACATACACAAAAAACTGAAACAGTTCTTTCTCTTAGAACAGTCCTTACTGTACTTTTATATCAGTCGTACTTGACATTTTTCTTAGAACTGTCCTCATCATTCCTGCTTTTCTTATAGCAGTCAATGTAGTTGTCCTTTCTCTTAGAACAGTCCTTATCGTTCTTGTATTTCCTAGAAATTTCGTTGTAGTTGTCATTTCTCATAGAACTGTCCTCACCGTTTCTGCATTTCTTATAACAGTCGCTGTAATTGTCTTTTCTCTTAGTACAGTTCTTATCGTTGTAGTTTTTCTTTGTCTTAGAACAGTTCTTATCTTTCCTGTATTTCTTAGAACAGTCTTCACAGTTGTCGTGTGATTAGGTTGTTCGGAAAATAATGCAGGTTTATACTATTAATGATATTATTTCAGAAAAAAAAATTATTAACTAAAATAAGAGCCATTAGATTCTTGCCAACCAGATACAAATTGTTATATTCCACTGGCAGAGAAGTTAGGAATTTGGCTGCGAAGAAAATGTTCGAAGGCATTTTGGACAGCAATTAAATCGTTGAAAATATTTCCGCATGAGAAAATATCCTGCTGTTTTGAAAGTTAGTAATCATTTGTCTTGAGTTCAGGTGAGTCAGTTGAATGATGTTGAGGTTCGTAGCCCGATTCATTCAATTTCTGTAGTGTTTGTTGTGCAAATATGTGACTGTGCCTTTGTCGTTCAGGAGGACTGGACCTTTTCTGTTGACTTGTGCTGGGTACCTAAGCTTCAATTTCTGATGCCTTTGATCAATTTCTCGGTAATACTTCTCAGCTGTGATTGTTTCCTCAAGATCCAGAAAGCTGTGAGAAATCAACCTGGCTTTGGAACACCAAACAGTCAACATAATCTTCCTTTGGTGGAACTCTGGTTTTTGGTAGTGTTCAGGAGTTTCCTTTCAATTCAACTATTGCCCTGAACGCCGTCGGTTGTCATATAGGATCCATTTCTCCTCCCATGTCACAATCCGATCGAGAAATGAAATATTCTTGCGCAAAAGAAGAGCTAGTATTTCTTAGATTAAATAGATTCTTAGATTAGTCTTCGTCGTCTTAATATTTCTCAAAATATTCCTTGTCATTCTAGAATTTTTTCGACCAGTCATTTCCTTTCTAGAATTTCTTAGAACAGTAAGAATGGAAATGATTCGATGTTGTGTCACAATATCTTACGAAACCGATGTTGCTTAGTTTAATTCTTAATTAAATAATATAGTAAGTTAAATATCAGACTTATGTTACGTTTGAAAGGCGTGGAGAGATGCACCCTGCCATGCGTCGATTAAATTATTAGCCGATGCTTTCCATTTCTCTTTAGGGGGAGAATTTTATTATGTTCACTTTGTGACGTCAACTTATTTTTATTAGTAAAATTTATTAGCGCTCTTTCTCTTTTCAGTGGATAGAAAACTTTCATCATATGTATTCATTTTACATGTTTTAAAATACAGAATTCTAACGTGAATAAATTGACAAATCTAATTTTATCCTTTATATTCATTTAAAAAGTCTATGATGGGTTGATTTGTTTTTTTTTTCGGTTCATCAACTATTTGCAGGATATTTAAAACTAGAAAATAATTTTAGATTGTAAGAATTTTGGAGGGGGATAATGATGGTTTACTGATACAACTTGTTAATTAACCCATAACTGGGGAGGAGACGATATAGATTCATACCTTTCGTGAGGATATTTGTGCGCAAGTGAATATAATGAACTCGACTGGAATTCGAACTCGGCTCTCCGATTTCCAATTCCGAGCCGTTATCCACCATACTACCCAAACATCCAAGCTTACAGCACCCGATATTCCTGTGCAGTCACCCATCTAGGTATTGACCAGACTCGACGTTGCTTAACTTCGTTGTTTGTATGAGAACTGGTGTTACAAAAATCGAAGTATCATTTATGAAACCTAAGCCTGTTTTTTCTCAGATTGATATGTCATGTTGTTCCATTGTAAGCAAATGTCTTCAAACTGAAGATATTCCTAGAAAATATAAAAATCGTTGTGCTTTAATTACTTACCAAATATTGTATATTCTTCTGAATAATATGACCGCTTAAAGAATATAAGAATGGTATATAGCAAGAAAATTGTTGAAATAATAATGTGATCAAAATCGATGCCATACCGATTTTTCTCCTCCGTATTTTTTTTTTTTTTTTACCAGCGAGTAAAATTATTTTGATCTATCTTCCGGCAAAAGTTGTGAATGTTGGCCTCACACGAGAACAAGGAGCCTTGATAATGTCCATCTACGGCGCAGTTATTGCGTTTAGCCAAATTGTTGTTGGAATTCTTGCCGACCTGTTTCACATCCCTGTAAGCTACCTTCTGATGTCTTCATTGTTTGGCATGTCAGTCACTTCTGTTGCCATTACATTCTGTCACTCATTCTCTTTGTTCATCTTGTGCGCATCCCTGTTCGCCATTTGCCATGGTGAGTATTTCGAAGCAAAACAAATTAATAATATTTGCTTGAAGAAGACGTTTTTCTTAGAGTATTGTTTGTTGCGAACTGATTATCAATCGTTTATAATGGTTATAATGATATTTCGTCCCCTTTACAATCGGACATTCTTTGGATTTCTTTCATTTTTTTTACAAACTCAAACCTGTTCTGTTGGAGCATGCATGTTGCTTCTCAAACATGTCACCTGTGTCTCTGTGTAACCTCAAATCCTGCGATTAATTTTTAAACTTTTGGGATTAAATTTAAAATTTTTCGTGACATGAGATCAGTCAGTCAGTTACGTGATACAAGCCTAGACGATCATGTGTCTTTCGATACATGATTGACTAGGCAGATTTTTCCCGCATGGATCGCGATTTCTTTCTGCCAGTCAAGGCTAAAGAACCCAGTCTGTCCTGCTATTTAACCCATGAGTTGTGGGTGGTAGAAGTGATGGATTTTACGTAAGTGAATATGACGAGTTCTCATTCCGAGCCGATATCTATTGCATTGAGTAAGGTGCTCGAATCAATCTGCACACAGAATAAACTCAGATAATGCAATAGTAACAGGGACAAATATAAAAAAACAAACTTGCAGAGTCATTGGATATGACATGATTAGGAAGAAATGCGCATGTGCCAACAAAATATGCTACACAACAGACATTGCTTGACGAAACAAATACAGTACCATTTTTAATTGAGTTATTTTAGAAATACTAATTTTCATCTTTTCTTTTTATATTACAAACGGAATAAATACTCGAATTTGTATAAAGAAAAAATTGTTTTATACGCAGATTTATTCGAACTATTTTCCTCATCTTGAATTTTTTAGTTACATCTTTCTGGTGGTTGCAGTCTCCGATTTTTTTTTCAGTTGTCTGTCTTATGTAGCATTAGTTAGATTGAAATTAAACCCTTTTAAATTCAACACATTCGATTAGAATGTTCCCATTCCTCTGTCCATGCGAGGCAATATCTCACATTAGTTAATTTTTAGTTGATATTTTTTCATGGTGTCACTTTTAACCGTTTCCCGGAATCAAAGTGAATTCTTGAACTCAATTCTTGACCACCTTTGTATGGCCTTTCTGTCCAATTGTCCCTCAATGCAATCAATCGGCATTATTGCTGACCTGCTTCACATTTCAACAGATTATATTCTGATGCCTTCATTGTTTCGTATATTCGTTACTTCTGTAGCCTTTTACATTCTCTCGACTCCTTTTCTTCGTTCTTCCTGTTCGCACCTCTTTTCGCAATTCGCGAAAGTGAAAAAATCAAATTCCATCCTATTGTCTGATTTTCTTCAGGCAAATCATTCCATTACTCGTTTTGATTTTCTATGCCTATTACTCTTTTTCTTTCCTCATTACATTCTTTCGACTGCTGCGTACATCAACCTTCATCGGGTGCCTGTTTCATTCATTAACTGTTGGATTTTCTTTCTTCCAATCAATTTTCTCGGCCTTTTTTCAAGTTTCAGTTCTAAATTTCATTTTCGATTGACGTTCCCCGCGTTCGAACTTTCCTCATACATGACAGGCAACCATAGTGGAAGATGAAAAAACGTTTATAGGTATTAACACACATACACACACACACACACCATGTTCACATCATGCTATTAACAGAGCAGAATGAATGTTCATATTTCTTTGCCAATGCGAGAAGATAATCTCGGATTAGTTAATTCTTTTCAGTTAATTGTAATGCCTCTTATATCCATTTCAATGATTAAAATTACGATCTTATATGCACGACGTCGTTATCTCTTCGGGTAATCGAAATGGCGTTAAAGTAATAGCGAACAATATTAGTTACTTTTTTTGTATCTTGTAGTGAAATTCGTATACTATTGTTGAGTGGAACAATCGGAAACAGCATTCAAAAGGATGAATTAAAAAAAGAGGAATGATATAATACAGCACTTCCGAAAATCAAAATGACTAGAAGCTGCAAGCTGATTACTACTCTGACCGAGCTCAATGGCGAAAATTGGCTTATAACTTTTAATACCTCAAAAACCAATTTTAGTATTGCTTCATTGTCACTGATTAGATCCTGAATTTTCTCCAGACATGATCAACGAGTGCATTCCCAATCTTTGAATATATATTAAACCTCAAATTCATTCCAGACCTCAAGTAGAAATCTCATATACACAATGAATTGATGAAGACACTGCGTAGTTGATTGGCTCATTCATCGCTTCCTTAATTACCTGATATCTATCATGCTTTATCTTTACAAAAGTCAGATTAGACTGAAAAAAAAATAGTATTCTCTCTCTCTCCAACATTTATAGTTTAAAGTCATTTATTTTGTCATGTCGGCGGTGTGAGAGATTCTAAATTCTGCAGCATCTTTCCAACAGATGCAAATTTGAAAGCCTGACTCTGTAGTTGATTCCGTGGTAAATGTTCATACGAGCTCCATTCTTTGGCATCGCCAATTCAAAACTTTACAGTTAGGATACGCCATGCTACGTCTAAAGGAATCGAATCACCCTCATTTCTTTTGTATTCCATTTGTAAGGAGGAAGTTCCGCTCAGTTAGCTTTTCCTCAAGAACTGCTACTTTGTGGAACTGACGCCCCCGTGGGTCTTTCTTTGAATATTTCAATCTTAATCACTTCAAGTCATGGACCAATCGTTATCTATCCTCCTTATCCTCATAGTCAATTTCCTACCACCTACTTTTCCCCTCATATCACAGTCTTCATCCATCATAACCATTTCAATAATAACTCTATATATTCAGTGACTCTCTAGATTTTTATTAGGTAAACAAAAGTATAAAAAAAAGATTAATTTCTAGCTAAATGGAAACAATTTCCTCAGATTAATTCAATGATTCGGTTTAAAATTCACAGAAGGCTATCGATTACGAAAGACACCAGAAGAAGCCCGGAGAATATAACGGCTGACATTTTGTGTATGACAATCAAGAAGAGGACAACAGTTCGAATAAGTCAGGGTATTTCAATAATTTCTCAAACAGAAATATTTTTATTTTAATTTTTTAAGGATTTACCTATACCCTCCGAATGGTGCTTGTGGCTTCCATCTTGGGTGTAAGAAATCTGACCAAAGGATATTCCCCTTTGTGCCTTCTGACTGGTCTCACTGACATTATCGATACGACCATCGCAGGTAATTAACTTTCTTCAATTCTGCAATCTATTTCCTTTTTGCATTGCACATGATTTTCTTAACAGAAGTTAAGACATGAAGTGGTGCATTTTTAAACACATTAAAAATTATCTTATTTTATAATGTCACCAAAAAATTTTTTAAAACATTTTTTAACTTGATTATTACTTTTAATTATTACATATTATTTATCTCTTTTTACTTATTACGTCGAAAAAATAATAAAAAGACAAAGCAGAATATGAACTTCAGTAATAAGACGAAGACGTAAACAAAAGCAAAAATTCATGAACGTGCGCCTGTAAAAGAACTTTAAATTCATGAATGCACAGGTGTACAAAACTGATTGAAACAAAACTCCTTGAAGAATGGTCATTATCAAGAAACTTCGAAGTCGGGAAAAACAACAATATAAAATGGATATTAAAGTTAAGTAAAAAATATTTTCCCTGGTTCATCACGTCACATCTCTACCTTTTAACTAGAGATGTGACCTGCTGAACCAGGAAAATATATTTTCTGGGAAATAAATTATAATCATGGAATCATAAGGTTGTCTTTCTTTCTATATATATATATATATATATATATATATATATATATATATATATATATTATAATTATTTTAAAAAAAAATATGATTCCATCGCTACATAAGAGTTCTCATGTTTCAAAAACAGGAGCTAAAAACTTCAATTTAATTATAAAAATTAAATTGAGATAAAGTATCAAGCTCTGTTTCATCGTCAAGCGAAAGTTTTGGAATAACTAATCTTGAAATTTACGGAGCTTTATATGCATATTCATTCGTAATATTAATTACTATGGAAACGGCTGAAGCAATTATTTTAATAAGGGGCGTAAGGGTTAACAAATTGTATCAACATATCTGTTACATATATATATATATATATATATATATATATATATCTTAAAAAGAGAGAGACCGCAAACGTTTTTGGTTGTAATGTGGATATTTCTTTCTTATTTAAAAATATATATTATACTTTATTTTCTATAATTTTCTTACACGCGTTTCCGGTCTCGCGACCTTCATCAGGCAAAGAGTGTATATTGCCACATATTATTAAAAGGAATTAATTTTTCTTGTTTTTCGATGTTAAATATTCTCGATATCAGGCATTCTCTTTTTTGTGTGTTAGTGACCCAAATGTTTTCCTTGAACTGACAGTGAAAAAGTTTTGCGTGAAGGGTAATAAAACAATTAAGACTGGTCCGAGAAAGGGTGAGAAAGATATCTCTGCTCTTACCTTTTAATGACCCCCCCCCGTGTGTTTTTAGATCTATTGCCATTTTTTTTGAGTTTCCGTCAGCATGCGCATGTATACGTATATTCCCTCTCCATACATACATACTGTCTTATTATAAGGAATTAGTATGCACATATGTACACATATACATATATATATATGCTCATACACATGCATACACACAAACAGACACACACACACATTTCCTATGTTGTGTAGGGTTCGCTTGTGTGTCCGTGAGCAGTTTTATTTTTTTTTACAATATGTATATATATATATATATATATATATATATATATATATATATATATATATATATATATATAATTATTTATTTAAAAATATGATTCCAAAACGCGACATAAGAAGTCTCATGTTTCAAAACAAGAGCTGAAAAATTCAATATAATTATTTAAATTAAATTGAGTTAAAGTAAGCTCTGTTGCATCTTCAAGCGAAATTTTTTTGGAATAACGTATATCTGAAATTTACGTGTTTTAAAAATTGAAATCAAAATTTCCATGGTAACAGCTAGGGCGAATTGTTTAAATTGGGTAGGCGAGTGTTGGGTGTTAATAATAAGTATCAGTATAGAGTTACTTTCATAGATGTCAAGTCAGGGAAAGGTAGGGGTGTCTAAATTTTAAACGGAAGATGTATTAACCCTCGTCTAGTTTGCATGTCTATGGAGATTTATTTATTTTTTTATGAAAGGGATTTGTGATATAAAAAAACTGTCGTAACGTTTGTTTTTTGACGACTTCATAAAGGGTTATCTTTTTTGTAGGGTATTTAAACGTCGTCAAAAAACAAACTCTCTTTCTCTCTCTCTCTCTCTCTCTCTCTCTCTATATATATATATATATATATATATATATATATATAGAAAGAAGAGATAATCCGCAAAAGTTTTTGTTTGTAATGTGTTTTTATTTTTTTAAATATTATGCTTTATTTCCCATAATTTTGCTACACGGGTTCCCGGTCTCGCGACCATCATCAGGCAAAGCGTGGAGATTTCCACATATTATTAAGAGTAATTAATTTATTTCTTGTGCTTTTCGATGTTAAATATTGTCGATATGAGAAATTCTCTTTTTTGTGTGTTAGTGACCCAAATGTATTTCTTGAACTCTTGAGCTTTGAAAAGAGAATGTTTCATATCGAGAATTCACATATATATATATATCATTTGGTAGGAGGTCAACTCGTTACGAAATACGGCCATTTCATATACTAATATAGTTTTCCTTGATTTTTTTCCTTAAAGGATTTTGTTTTTAAAAAAATCTTTTGTTACCAACTAGACTTCTGATTAATAATCAATTTGAAATACAGAGAATTAGAAAGTATTAGCCACAGATGATAAAGGAAATAGCCTTTCTAATAACTTCTTATCTTTCCAGGATTTTTGTTGGATGCTACAAGGTCTTACGATTCTATTTTTTATTTCATCACCGGTTCTTTATTCATTGCCTGCATCGTATCAAGTGGAATCGTATACCTACAACGAAAAGGAAAATTCCATGAAAAATAATAGCAGAATAATTATTAAAGGAAAAACTTTCACAGTTCCATTAAGAATTCTTCTTCTGTATCAATGTTATATGGAAGATTTATTTAGTTAGTTGTCTAAACTCCTACCCAATAATGAAATTATATTTAGAATTATGTTCCTATATGTGGTATGCAAGGTTGATTGGCGCTACTTGTCTAAACTCCTACCCAATATTGAAACATTTACGGACAGACTCTTACTAATTTCATTATATTTAGAATTATGATATTATATGTGGTATGCAAGGTTGATTGGCGCTACTTGTCTCCTAAACATTTACGGACAGACTCTTACGAATTATATTGAAAAGGTTGATTGGCATTTACGGACAGACTTACTTACTAATTTCATTATATTTAGAATTAAACATGATTCTATATGGATATTATATGTGGTATGCAAGGTTGATTGGCGCTACTTGTCTAAACTCCTACCCAATATTGAAACATTTACGGACAGACTCTTACTAATTTCATTATATTTAGAATTATGATTCTATATGTGGTATGCAAGGTTGATTGGCGCTACTTGTCTAAACTCCTACCAAATATTGAAACATTTACGGACAGACTCTTACTAATTTCATTATATTTAGAATTATGAATTATGATATTATAAGGTTGATTGGTATTGTCAAACTCCTGAAACATTTACGGACAGGCTCTTACTAATTTCATTATATTTAGAATTATGATATTATTTTAAAACCTACCAAATATTGAAACATTTACGGACAGACTCTTACTAATTTCATTATATTTAGAATTATGATTCTATATGTGGTATGCAAGGTTGATTGGCGCTACTTGTCTAAACTCCTACCCAATATTGAAACATTTACGGACAGGCTCTTACTAATTTCATTATATTTAGAATTATGATATTATATGTGGTATTGCAAGGTTGAAAATTTACGGACAGACTCTTACTAATTTCATTATATTTAGAATTATGATATTATATGTGGTATGCAAGGTTGATTGTTGTTTAAACTCCTACCAAATATTGAAACATTTACGGACAGACTCTTACTGAATTTCATTATATTTAGAATTATGATACTATATGTTTACGGACAGATATAATTTCAATATTTAGGTTGAATTGATTGCGCTACTTGTCTAAACTCATTTAACCTATTTTTTCATTATAATATACAGACAAATGAAAACTCTAACCCTTAAAGTTGCATTTAAATCAACTACTTTAATTTCTTCTCTGCTTTACTATTTGCTATATGATTCAAATCAATGAAATCCACTTTGTATGATTGTGAATATCCAGCAGCTTCTCAAAACAATAATGGAAACTAAAACAGTTTCCATTATAGTTTAAATTCTTTCTGATAAATCTTGTTTGCAAATCGTGGCATGATTAGAATTAATTGAAGAAGAAAGACTTTCATTTGGTCGGATTTTTCGTACTTCATCGCCGACATTGGCACATGAATATATTAAAATGAAATAGTTTTATGAAATAAATATATTCCAAAATAAATGTCAAATTTTGTTTATTTTATGTAACGAAGATGCTTTCTTCCATTCTATATATAATATTTATTACATTTTGAAAATTTCGCCAGTCAACGAGATTCGATAAAGGGAAATATGTTAACAAATATTTACACTTTTTCTTGCATTTGGTATCGTTGTCACTTGTCGAAAGCAGTATGGCTGTAGGTATTACGTTGACTACAACAACACCATGACTCATGACTAAAAATCTAATAAAAACAACCTAGAAACTCATAAACCTTACTTGAAATACCAAATTTTATACTCAAAAGAAGATTACAACAAATAAATAAATAAAATGAAAATAAAATAATGAAAAATGTATAAATAAATTATAAGGTAATAAAGTAAAATTAATAGGATAAAACCAAACGTAAAGTCAGAAATATAAATAAACAAAATAAGTCTGGGATAATTCCGTTTGTCCAGTCGACGAGATCCGACAAGGGCAAGTGTCAAGTAATTAATGTCCGCATATTTTTCTTATATTATAGTTGTAGTTAGTTAGATATTTATACAGTGAATGAAGATTTCGACTACGATATCATTGTAGGTAGTACGCTACCCACAACCACACCACGGCTCCAAAGACTAAACAACTAATAAACTTAATTTCAAATCCCAAATTTTAGACTCAAAAATAGAATGGAATAAATAAATTAAAATAAAATAAATAAAATAATCAACATCAAGTTCAGGACTATAAATGATGCAAAAAACATTAGCATGAAATAAGAAAATCTGGACAAAATAGGCTTCTCCATTTTCCATAGAACTCTCTTCGCCGGTGGCTTCAAGCCCACACAAAGTTAAGTAGCACAGTCTGGTGATAGGTTCAAGTGGGAAACTGCCCCTCACAATAGAGTGTTGTTTTTCTTATGTCCACACTGTATATATCTACAAACTCTCTTTCACCTTAAAGCAACAGAAGAAGGAAGATCTGCAATGAAGTAAAAGAGATAAACTCCGTAAGTTAAACATGGAAATATTTGAAATATAAAATGTGGATACACATACATCGAGTCCGCTCAAAAAATAACTCACCGTCTGAAGATTTTGTCAATAGTGTTTATATCTACATATTATCGATCCTTCATACTAAACGCACTTCTCGTATAATGATTTTAATCAATATAGTTATTGTTGTCATCTTTGATTGTTATAAATGTTATTAGAGACACAATGTTTTAGACTATCAATACATATAGACTATGACATATTAGGCAAAATAATGAACACTGAAGATGGTCGGAACATATCTGGTCAAAAGGTCTTATCTATAATAATCAAAGATTAGAAGAGTTAGAATAAATTGGATAATTCAAAATATATTGACAATTCCTCGTCCCAAATTAAATAAAAATGCTCTGTTCATGAGAACTATTACTTGATTCAGTGTGCCAACTTTTAACTGTCTCGCGTCTAATCAGCAAGTGACATCATCTTGATCATTATTTGACATTATAAAATAGGATCGTTCTGTGGAAGAGAGAAATAATGATAAATAAAATCTTGGCTTTCGCTTCATTCGACTCACTTTCTTGCTTGTCGTTTTTTAGAAAAAAAATCTTTATTCATACAGTGGGTATGGATTACGCTAGATGCAACCACATCATGACTCCAAAGATTGAACAACTAATAAACCTCATTTTATAAGATGATAATAATTTTCATAATTCTATAATAATTAAATATGAAGACAATATTTCTAATTATTGTGATAAATCAAAATCAAGCGACAATTCCTCGTCTCAAATGAAACAAAAACGCTTTGTTGAATAGAACGATTACATGATTCAATGTGACAACTTTTAACAGAATGGTTTGCCGTCTCTCATGGCTAAAAAGCAAGTGACATGATCTTGTCCATTATTCGACACTATAAAATCTGTTCGTCCTGTGGAACAGAAACATAACGATAAATAACATTTTGGTTTTCACTTCGAATGCTTCATAGGCACCGCATGAAATTTCGCAGACACATAATTCAAGTCGGTTTTATTTTATAATTAATTTTATAAACTCTTATCAGTTCGTTATCATTTCGTTTTTACGGTGAGAAAAGACAGAAGTGAATCAATAGTTGTATTCAAATTACAAAACGAAATAGGGTCATTACATCTCATTCACAATCCGTAGAAAAATATCAAGTAGAATTTTAATAAAATTGTACATATCAGTTCAATATCTTTTGAGGCGTAGACATTTGTTGTTTGAAAAGTGAAACAATACTGTGGAAATTTCTACTATTAAAAAGGCTTTCACATATATTTCTACTACGTAAAATGAAAAACTCATGTCATCTAACAAATAATGCCTTAGAACCCCAGAAAATGAACAACGTTTTATGATCAAATTGAGAAGGAAATGTTGGCAATGATGCAAAGCTAAATAATTTCTTAATAGTTCAAAATTTAAATGTAGGGCGAGTAAGGAGAGATATGTTGAAAATTCACCAAAAAAGAAAAGAAAAAGATGGAGTCAGTCATCTTAAGCGGATAATTTTTCATTCAACTTTTATGAAAGAGGATCGATGATAAACTTGATTAAAGAAAAAAACAGTATTACCAATAATAGCAAGGTAAAACTTTTTAAAAGTAGACTTTATTGATCACCTTACACAAACATAAATAAAGATCAAGGGAGACAAATATGGGACCAACTTAAGTTATAATGGGTAATTCTTTTATACTATTGTTCATCCATTACAAGAACCATGATCCACTCAAAGAAGAGGGTTACGGAATGAGGTTGTTTTATGGACGTAAGAGGAGGTGGAGGTAAAAAATGCCGTTATGAGGATATGTAGGATAGACAAAGGTTGATCCTAGATTTGAAGAGGTAAAGATTACCGTCACCGGAAAGCATCCTCTTGGAAGTTTGTTTTACAAAGTAAACATTCGTAGGAAGAAGCTTTTCGAATAATACTTCCTTCTTAGGAAGGGAATGAAGATGATTCGACACTGTGGATGTGGAGGTGGACCACGAATAGAATTTGGATGATTAGACCCTGTGGATTTGAAACTGTGAGCGTGGATGTGGATTACGGTGAGAATTAGGATTATTCGACCCTGTGAATGTGGATGTGGATGTGGATGTACGAAGGAAACTAGGATGATTCGACCCCTTGGATGTGGATGTTCGAAGGGAATGAGGATAACTCTTTTGTGCGTATTCTGGTGAAAATGTCTCAAGTCCGTACACCACTGCTTTCTCAATCTCATAACGGCGCTAAGTTCCTGCAAGTGAGCACTTTGCATATGCCAAAGGTGTCTTCAACCCTACATGAAGGATGACATGTTCTACGCTATTATTTGTTAGCAGGTACTGAGGGGCTTTTTTATTACACAGTAGAAATATGTGCAAACGACATTTTAAAAGCAGACATGTGAATATGGGTCAGTATTTTAATTATTTTAATTTTCTAACAATACGACCGAACGCAGCAAATATATAACTTTTCAAACAAATTAAATGTGCGCAGGAAACGTTGTCCTTTTGAAATAAGCCTCGATTTGGGTCGCAACCAGCAATTTCAGATCGAGAGAAGAGGGAACAGATAAAGAATAGCCTAAACTAGAGATGGCGACCTGTACATACATCAAAGTATAGAGATGTAGTTCAGTAGAAAGTTGCAATCATATATCTTTTTGGGTCCTGAGGAGATAAAGAACTTGGACAGAAAGTATTAAGACCAGTAACACTGTCTACCGTAGTGAAAAGAATGGATACAGGGAAAGGCATGGAGGAGGCATAACTGAGATGAGTTAGGTTCTTATACAGTTAGGTTTCGTTTATTGTCAGGTCTCTCATTGCTGTGGTGATGAGAGGACCGCGTAGGCCGAGGTAAAACGACGTGTTGGCTGGACGATCTGACTGATTCTGTGCTTAGACGTGCTGTTAACTTTTAAGATCTGTTTCCTTAATAGTGACTTAGATATGTTTATTCAATTTACTTTAAAAGCTTTTCATTGTCTTCTTTCTAAAGCTACTTAATAAATCAAGAAAAGTTCAAATGACATCTAGTTATTGGCTAATCAGAAAATTAACTTGAATATTTATTGATTTATTATATATATATATATATATATATATGAAAAGTGTGTGTATTGAAATATGAATATATATACATATAATTATTTATATATTATATGCTCGGTGCTTATTAGAAAGCGCTCAATATCAGAGATAGAGCTAACATATTTGGTTGAATTGATGTGAGTTTGTGACCCTGGGTTTCACGCTTTTGCGATCGTCAGAAAAGCGTGAAACCTAAGGTCAAAAAACTCACATCAATTCAACCAAATATATATATATATATATATATATATATATATATATATATATATATGAATATATATAAATAAAATTGATCATTTAGTCGATTGACATTATATTCAGTACCTTGAATCTAGTTTTTCGTAGACGAACATTTTTGTAATCGCTCATTCCCTCGTCAGGAGGTTTCAGCAATTGACTGACGTTTTTCTCCTTTTTGGTCAAGTTTGATGTAATTGATTTATACGCAGGTTACTGGTGCACGTATGATATTTTTCCTTTGTGTGTGTGGTGGGGGAACTCCAACAAACGAGTTATCTGTAGAAGTTTTGGCAATTAATGAGAGTTATTGTATAATAAATTAACTTATAAGTTGCTGCGTTCCGTGTCGCCACTGGCTTCAGCCCCTTCAGACCCCATTGCCTCTTCAGACCCTAATGCCCCTTCAGACCACAACGCCTCTTCAGACCCTAATGCCCCTTCAGACCACAACGCCTCTTTAGATCCTAACGCCCTTCAGACCACAACGCCACTTCAGACCCCAAAGACTCCTTCAGATCCCAACGCTCCTTCAGATCCTAACGCCCTTCAGACCACAACGCCTCTTTAGATCCTAACGCCCTTCAGACCCCAACGCCACTTCAGACCCCAAAGACTCCTTCAGATCCCAACTCTCCTTCAGATCCTAACGCCCTTCAGACCCCAACGCCACTTCAGACCCCAAAGACTCCTTCAGATCCCAACGCTCCTTCAGATCCTAACGCCCTTCAGACCACAACGCCACTTCAGATCCCAAAGACTCCTTCAGATACCTACGCTCCTTCAGACCCTAACGCCCTTCAGACCACAACGCCCCTTCAGACCCCAACGCCCCTTCAGATCCTAACACCCTCAAATCCCAACGCCCTTTCAGATCCTAACGCCACTTCAGACCCCAAAGACTTCTTTCGGACCCCAATGCCACTTCAACGAAAGACGGTTTATTATTCTTATTCACTTTTATTATACGAGAGGAACAGACGTGCTAACAGCAATTCTAGGAGACAGCCGGAAAATTTCAGGGAACATTTCCCAATCATTAGTTTAACCTTCCGACACGCTTGGTCTTAGTCTCTTTAAGGGTTGTCGATGCAGAAAGCGTTCCGTCTCTTCAGAATTCTTGCGGCTCTTTGCCAACTTCATCCCGTTTTGGTCTTTCTACTCAAAACCAAGAATGTGTGGGTATGGATTGTGGATTTTGAATGGTTTTATATTACAAATAAAAATGTGATGCATTTTCATCATTTGATACTCTTTTACTCCAAAAATAGAACGATAGAGCGGTGAAAAATGGAATGCCTTCAATGTGGAGCAAAACTTAGCTTAGGAAATTCATAATGAACCAGATGCCTTACTCTGAAATAAGGTTTACAAAACTAAATTTGAACGCCATTATGACTGTATGTGTGAATTTGATACTTACTGGATACTCCACACCTTTGGCCTTTTACCAAACTCAGCTAAAATTAATTATACCAATTATATATTTAATTAAAACAGGTAGATTCTTTAATATCGGATCATAATAATATATTAGAAAAATGGCTGTAATACCATACGTGAAAAGATCGAGTAATTTATATGAAATAATTTTCATCTCATTTTGTTGAAACGATTTTTCTTATTCTTTTCACTCCAAGCAAGGCAATAAAGCGACTAGGATGCAAGTGCTTACCAAGTGTAGCAGAATTTGAGCAAAATCCATTAGAGAGAGAGAGAGAGAGAGAGAGAGAGAGAGAGAGAGAGAGAGAGAAAGAAGACAGAAGATAACGACATTGCATCTAAATGTTTGAAGATCAAAGTTGACTAGGCGTCAAGCCGGAAGAGAGTTCCACAAGCGAGAAGTGCGATAGAAAAACGTTTTTAGCACAGAACTTACGTTTACATGTAGCAATTTCAACTGTAAAATGATGACAATTTAGTGCTGCAATTAAATTCATGGTCTAGGTAACATAGAGGAAAAGTTCTTCTGAACATTTACCCTGAAAATATTTATAGAAAAGGCAAAGGGAAGGAACATTAAGGCGCTGAGATGCCAGGTCAGGACCAATATAACTGCGGATTCCTCTTTGGATTTTATCACGAATCTCTAAATATATAACAAGAGCACCAGACTATGTGTAGCAGCAATATTCAAAGCAAGGACGAATGGTAGACATATATAAGATAGATTCTGATAAGAAAATACTGACATTTTATTTTATGTTGTAAATTAACAATTTTAGCAAATGTGCTACGACTGAATTTCTATATTTACAATGGTATAGCAACGCTGAAATTAAATAAAATCTTTCTTAAGTATCTCTCTATATTTCTGTCTATATATCCGAGATGAGGTATGTACACTATTTACATTATTCCGACAATTGTCCTCTTCTTTGTTGCCATATTTATCACAACGTTTCTTCAGGTGGTTGGAATATTGAACTGAACCCTTTATTTCGCTCGCTGGAGTAGACTGTTCTAGTTCCACGTGGATGTCAGTTATCAGTTATCTCCTGTTAATTCCCCTCTCCAAGTTCTCCACTGCCTTAACCGGGTATTGAACTCACACTCTTTGAGTCCTGTCACTGGATTTAACTAACCCCTTTATCCACTGTGCCATGTGTCCTTGACGTCTCGGTTATTCCAGGCTACAAACTTCTTCAGGATCTGTCTATATTTGTTTGATAAAGTATTGTAATTATTTATAAAATTTACATTGTTCGAATTGTTGTCCTCATCTTTGTTGTCATATTTACGACGTTTCGGCCATTTCTTTTTTTTTTTAATTTTAAACCGAATCCTTTATTTAGTCCACCGGGGTAGAATGTTCTAGTTCCACGTGCTATGCCTCATCCGGGTATTTCAATTTCAGTTATTTCCTTTGAACTCAACTCTCCAATTATTTATCCGGTGCGTACAACGGCCGAAACGTCGTGAATATGACAACAAAGATGAGGATAACAATTCGAACATTTTAAATACTGTAAATCACCAAATGATTAGTAAGATAGTCCTTTTCATAATGTTCAAATTTTATAACTTACTTTGAAATTCGTCTTCTTTAGCCATTACAGCATCAGGCATATAATATGGAATCCAATCAATTAATTTTAAAAATAGAAATATCTTATTAGTTCACATCGTTATAACGATTATTTTTGTATTTTTATGGATATTATTGTAAACTAAATAATGGTTGATGTATACCCGGCGATCGTCTAGATATACGCCACATTTGAATTTTCATTTATCCAGTTAAAATTCAGTCACATGTAAAACTGGATATTGTAGTCAAAACCTTACGGCGACAGACTCTTTCATACTTAAACGCAATTTGTCAGACCGTGTTGTGTTTTGGCTCGACTATTTATATATGATGATCAGTGGTGCATTATGGGTAGGGTTATTGTATTATTCTAAATGTTATTTGGGTGGCGGTATTGATTATATTTGGAATTATTTTAAGGTATATTGAGTGGATAAAATTGCAGATCCGATTGCAGTTATTTTGCCTATTTTATAGTGTTGTTTTTGAACTTTTTTCTTCATTATTTATTATTTATCTTATTATTTGTTGCATATTGTTATTATTATGTTTACTTGTGTCTGTGTGTGCATTCGTAGTTTGTTAATTGTTTATTATTTACGTATTTATCGATTTAGATTCATTTATTTTACTTATTTATTTTTTATTTCATTTTTATTCATTTACTTTCCTTCATTTGTAGTTTTCGATTTTTAAGTACCTTGGTAGAAATTTGTTTTCGGGTCTTCATTTAGAAATGAATTTTGAAAAATAATAAACAATAATAATAATAAAAAAAAACACGTTGGTTTGAAGTCAAAGTTTTCCTTCTCCTAGACTGGTTGCCAAGAAAAGTCCGTAGGGCCAAATATGTTCTGCTATTTACCCACAGTGGGCAACGGAAGAAGAGATGGATTTATAAAGTTTCCCAAACATATTTGCGCGTAAGTGAATATAACGAAATTTAACGACTCCTAATTTCTCATTCCGAGCCGCTATCATTTTACGACCCGCACATCCAAGCTAACAGCACCTGGTGTGTATGTCTGTGTGTATATATGTGTGTGTGTATGTGTGTATGTGTGTGTGCGCGCATGTATCATTGTGTTTGTAGAGAGAGAATTATGTATTGTATATTTGGACACCAATCCTTTTTTTATGCATGTTTCGTTCTACATAACAGACAAGGAATATTCTGTCAAATTTTAATTCAGTTTTTCTTGTGTCCTTCAATTTTTACTGTTTTGAAGGCTGTGTATTGAGGGCTCGTCTATTGCTTTGATTATCTCGAGTTTTTTCGGTTAATTTGCCTTCCATTTTCAAGTTAACGAAGATTATTATTCATGTTTTTTTTTTTTTTTTTTACTTCTATCGTGTTGTGTGAGCGTAATCAAATTCTTAATGGAGGTTTGTTTAATTTTCCAAACACAGCCAGAACACCTTGACTCCGTTTTATATTCTTTAGAAATTATATCATTAACCTTAATAAGAATTAATTTTTCTATTATTTTATTAATTAGAGAAATTTCCCAATCAGGTAAATCATTGGCTTGGTCAATTGGTAATTAATCTCAGTTTTTGGAAACCAACTGTAATGACGAATGTGTCATCTTAATATTCTTCCTGACCAAAAAGTATTTTTTTTTCATTTCGAGACAAAGTTATTTTTGTTTTTGAGACAAAGTTTCTTTTTTGTTTTCGAGGTAATATTTTGTTTTCTTGAGGCAATCTTTTGTTTTCTTGAGGCAATGGTCAGAAACTGTGAAGAAGGTAGTATCGTTGCAGTTGTTAATCATTATAAAAGTGTATCAGAAGTCAGCAGCAGCTCGTTATCAACAGAATTCTCGTTTTCTACTCTATAAATGTTATCTCTTGTTAAAATGGAACAGTCAAGATATATTCTCTCTTTAGACGACAAGAAATCATCATTAATACCTGCAAGATAAAAAGACGATGAAAAGAAATCAGTCCTAGAGCTAACAGATTGACTTAAAAATAAATTCTACGTTTAGTGAGGTTGTGAAGCAATTAAGAATATCTCAGCCTGGAATGTAGAATTTCTGATAATTCCAAAGACAACAGGAAGTTGGATACAAGTCTTCATCTTCTATCAGCATGTGATGTGATGCTAGGTAGAGTTTACCAATTTTATAAACACGTGAGCAAAATTACAGGATGGTTTACAACTCATCTGAGAAGAACAATATCTTTTAATACTTGCAGGTAAGTTTATATACTATTCTTCCGACTGTTAGCAGGACAGGTGTTTTGAAAGGTTTTCTTTGTGAGAATCGAATGTAACGTTTGTGTTCCATATCAATTAACTTCTTATTGACCAATTCTTTGATATTTTGTGTTTATATATATTTTAGAAATACTGTATACAAGTCGGTAAGTATCGACTGAATTATTTCTTTCTGGCGTTTTTCATGTTCAACAAAGATAAGAAAAGCGAATTTATGCATCTGCGTTTCGAGTTAAAATTCAGTTTGCACTGAGGCGAATGTTATCTCAGGCGTTAACTATCACTAGAATATTTTATGCAACTCTATATATAAACCATATTCAAATATTGCATGTATGTAAGTCCTGTATATTCACCTGTATAACTTTATAACTTTATACAACTTTATATGACAGAGATTTACAAAGAAAAAATATACACATTTTATTACAGACCTTGACAAAGATAAAAAAAAATTCATATTCATATATTACAGAACTTAATAAAGAAAAACCTTATACAAATTTATGTCACAGAACTTGACAAAAAAAAAAACAAAAAACTTTATATACGTCAATATTAGAAATATTGACAAACACAACATTTGATATAA